CAGTGGAGCGCTTGTATCCATACAGTACTGATGCAGATGTAGGATGAAGATGTGATTATCATTACGCCCTAGAAAAATACAAATTTGTAATACATCTGTAGCTTGGAGCTGGAAAGTCAAAATCACCCCAAAAACAAAAATGGGAAGGGACAGAGGAAGTCTATTTGAGGGGTTTGCATCTGGAAGCACCTATCATTTGTATGGAATAATTGCATATTCCCAGGCTCATGAAAACCTTTCAAGTCATCCCAAATAGAATTCTACTTTCAGAATTCTATTTGGGTATTGAGTATATTCTGTAAATTATTTTGAATTCTATAGAAAAGGTTTGTTTAGTCTCCATTTATGTACCCAACTACTTAATTATATTGTGTTGAACTCACAGTTACTCTGATTAAATTTTGGGTTACAAGCTGGTATGTAATAATTTTGTTCAAATTATTCCAGCTTTGACCATCAGGACCTCTTTGTTTTTCTTAAAGTTATTTATACGTACAGAACTGGGGTACAGGTCAGAGTGGCAGGGGTGGTGAGAGGATTCACCAGAGAGAGAGTGGGGAGCAGAATAGGCCGATCAACAAGGTACACTGCTGAGTGGAGCAGCGGACAGGTCAGGAGAGGTTTGCTGCGCCATGTGGGTCACCTCGGGGTGGGGATCAAAATCGTGCTGAAGTGGCTTTAGCTTCATAGTGCTGTGCTTTAACCGGCTGTGCCACCAGGGAGGGCCCCAGGACCGCTTTCAATTGACTCACGTGTGATGTGGGGTGTGTGTGTGTGTGTTTTCTGGCACTACCAAATGCTCCAGGTCTACATCTTAAAATTCTGCTTAGCCCTACATAAAATTTTTCTGTGGTTTATTACTTCCAGAAGTGACTTTTAAACATTGTATTGTCGTTCTCCCTCCAGGTATAGTCCTCAGTTTTCCCAGCACTGTTGCACCTGTGAACCATCACCATAGTCCCTGTGCTCTTCTCTCTCCTCTTTTGGCCCCTCCCCTACCACTTTAAATTTCTGGTCAACTAGTAAATTCTTTTTTCTGGCCTTTTTTTTTTTTTTGGTCTAAATATATTCCACCTATAAGTGAAACCATCTGATGTTTTCTTTTTCCTTTCTGAGTTATTTCACTTAGCATAATCCCTTCCAGCACCAACCATGCTACCCCAAATGGCATGAGTATTTTTTTTGATAAGATTAGTATTCAATTGTGTTTGTATACCACATCATCTTTTTTTCAAATTTATGCATACAAGAACTGGGGTATAGACCAGAGGTGCCGTAGCTGAGAGGATTCACCAGAGACAGTAGGGAACAGAAAGGGAGCAGCAGGTGAGACAGGAGGGGTCTGCTGCACCATATATAGGTTAGTGGAGGCACTTCATGCAGTGGATGGCGATAGCTTAATAGTACTGATACTTTAACCACTGTACCACCAGGGAGGCCCAGAAGGTGACTTTGATGAGGGTGGGGAAGGGGGGGGGGAATGGATTGTCTCCTATGACAGTAGATGGCAGTTTTCTCATCTCTAAGCAAATTGGACCAGAAATGCATTATCTGAGTCTTAACACTAGAAAATTCCAATCTTGATGGTATGTACCCTAACCCTAACTAAAGTTAGCCTCTAGGCATATCACCTTCCTCCTGGGTGTTTGTCTCTTGTATTCTATTTCTGTCCCATCCTGTACTGTCCTGTCCAGTCCTGTCCTGTCCTGACCCTTTGTTCCATTCCTCAATCTAACTAGCTTTTAACCTTAGTGACAAAATTGAGTCCCTCTATTTTTTGACATTAACTTGGCAGGCCTAGTAACACAGATTACTCTTGCCTTCTGGTGCTTTTATACTATGGCTTCTACTTGATCATGCCCTGGTCCTGGCTGTAGTTACTTGGCTAGTACCATTACCAGGTTTGCCTCTGCTTACTGGAAAGGTGATGGCCAGACTGGGAACTGAAATAAAAATTGCCATTGCTTTTGATGATGAAAGTGAGCTTTTACTGAATTCCTTGGCTGACTCCAAAATTGTCCAGTACATGACAGTACATGAGAAAATACCATCCTTATCTTGAGGTACCTTGTAGTTTTATTGGGGGAAGGGAGACTTCCAAGAGGAACAGAAATTAGAGAAGAAGAACATAAGGAAATAAGTAACCTCATTATTAAGGTCTATTTTGTGTGATCATAATGACAAATTCTAGAAACTGAAGAAGTGAGAAAACAGGTCTGGAGCAGGTGGGGAAGTTGTGATAAGATGGAACTTGAACAGGAGGAAGAGTAACTCAGGTTGCTTGCCAAACTTGCAGAGAGATGAGGTGGCGGGATAGAAAGACCTGTCTCATCTGGACATAAGAAGCTGGCACTGGAAGCTGGAAGTGGTGTGGGTCAGACTAGAATCAGAAAGGTCTTAAAGGTCACTTAGAGAACTTTGGGAGAGCTAATTCTGATGGCCAGTGGGGAAACTTGGTGCCTTTTGAGGAGAGGAGAGAACTGAAGAAAGCAGTGCTTTAAGATTAAAAGACCAAGAAAAGTAACCTGATAATCAGTAAGAAGTTGGACTGGTGGAGGCAAGGAGAAAAAGAGGGAAAAAAGAGATGTGACAATTTTTAAAGGATGGTAAGAAATTTGGGGTAAAGGAATTTGTGTGTGTGTGTGTGTTTTCCTGCCATTCATTGCCCATTTTCCCCATTTCTGAAAATGTTGAAAATGTCTTATTCCCTCTGGGCAAGCTATCTCCTCCTACTACCGAGACTGTAGGCTACTGTCCTGGAAAACAAGTTGGCAGTATGTTTCAAGAACCCTAAAAATTTGTGTTCTTTATCTGTAATTCTATTATGATGAATTTTAACAGATTTATATAGGGATATCATCTTAATATTTCTAAAAGCTTTAAGGAAATGCTGTGAAAGTATTGGGAAATTGTTGCAGAAACATTGATGGGAAAATTTAAAGTGATATTGAAGAGATTTTAATTTGGGGAGCATTTGTAATAAACTCATATGGTGTAAACTTAGTGGTCAAAAGTAAGCGAAAAGTAGGTCTGGGTCTTCCTGGTGGTGCAGGGGTTAAAGTCTAAGTGCTATCATGCTAGTCCAGTCTCTGGGACATGAGTTCAATCCCTCACCAGGGAGCCAGCCCACATGGCTGTTCTCTTCTGTCTCACTCACTGCTCCCCTCAGCAGTGTAGTTCAGTATATTTGCCTGTTCTGCTCTCTGCTCTTTGGTGAATCCTTTCATGTACTTCCCCTCCCCACCCCACCCCCACACCTCTGGTGTACACCCCAGTTCTTGCATGCATATATAACTACATTAAAAAAAAAAAGTAGGTTACCTTCCCTCCTGTGTCCCATAGCATCTATCCCCTCCTCAGAGGGAGCCATTAAAAACATGTTAATCATTTCATTATTTATTATTGCTATAGGAGTGTAATTTAGCTTTGTTAGTAGGATCTCCCAAATTGGTCATTGACACTTAGATATAGTACATACTTACCGTTTTACTCAACAGCATCTGTCTAGGGGATGGGGCTAATTAAGGTTTGAGGAATGAACATGTTCCTGCAACGTGGACAACCATTTGCTGTGTGCAATTTTGCCACTAGGTGGTGGAAGAGAGTTAAAATTTGGGGCTGGCCCCCCCCCCCCATCAAGAACAATTGATGACAGTCATACATGAAATTTTAACTCAGGCAATTAGAAATGCATCTAAACTATTTCTTCCAAAATATTAAAAACTTTCAGGAAAAATATTGGTGTTGTCTTTGGCACTTGAATTTCTTTCATCACCCAAGTTATTTTTCACCCCTTCTTGCTATTTTCCTGTCCTGGTGCCCACCTTGGCCTCTGCTGCCCCCTGATGCTGCTGCTAGGCTTTCTTCCCTTCCTTCGAACCTCATTGCTTTCCAAAGAGATGGGCAACCCCAGAAATGGATGGGTGCTCGTGGATTGACCCAGGGTGGGAGGCCACCCCTCCGTCTTCCTAATTAGGTATGACTCCGCTGGAGGGTTTTATCACAGCGGGATTGGGGTGGTACTACCTGTTAACTGTCCATTCACTGTGTCTGGACAGCACCAAAACCTGCGCAGGCAAATACTTGCCCTTTAAGGCCTGGGTTGTGGGCAGGGCATCCGCCCTTGGTACCATCCTCCCCTCCTTGAGCACTCTTTGGTCAAGGTGGATAAGTCCTGGGAATCTTTGACCGGGTACTGTTTAGAAAGGTAGAGCTCTCACGGATTTCTGTATTTCTTGAAAAGGCTGAGCTCTCGGAGAAGTCATTCAGCCTCTCAGGCCCTCAATTTTGGCTCTGGATTTTTCAGTGTATTTACTACACTATTATAAAGTGGGGTGGCTCCGACTCCCTAGGTGTGGTCTACAGGAGTGAAAGAGGGAGAGGAAGCACCCAGTGAGCACCTCAAGGGTGGAATTGGAAAAGGGTCTTGGGAAGTGGAGCAGCTGATACTCAGCAACTGTCAGTGACCTTTCAGTGACTTTGAGACTAAAACGGGCCCGGGGGCGCTGATCGGCTTTGATCTCACCTGGGTTCACTCTACTCGTTGAAACTTGTCTAACGTCGACACCTCACTGGATCGCTAACTTTGCCCATCCCCAGGCGTTCCGGAGCTGACCCCACGGAAACTAGATTTCCCTGCGCTTGGCGGCTGTGGGGGAGGGTATCTTGTGGACGGGAACAGGACCCAATTTGGGAAGTTCTTTCCTATCCTCAAAGGTTTCCCGAAGGTGGGGGGAACTTAGGGCTCACGAATTGGTGGGTGCCTGGAGTCGCGAGGCTGAACTCCGGCTGGGTGCGTGCGCTGGACGCCGCTGCGGCAGCGCTCCGACTCGGAAGGCGTGGCTTAGGGCCTGGAAGGCGTGGTCTAGGGCTTGGGAGGCGTGGCTTAAGTCATGGGGCGTGGTTTAGGGTCGGGAGGGCGTGGTTTAGGCCGGGGGACTCCGGAGTCAGGCTCAGCCGCAGCGCTCTGACCGCCAGGCTTCCCCGCGCGGCGTCCCGCTGTCCCACTGTCTGCTGCACTCCCCACGCGTTCCACCATGACTTGCTCGCTGTTCCGAGGAAACTTTTGGGTAAGTCAGACTGGCGGGCGTCCGATCGCTGGGCTCAGGACCCGCTGTGGGGAGGCCAGCGCGGAGCGGAGCCGGGCGCCCAGCGGCCGCGCGCTCGGGTTCAGCGCCTCTCGGGACGGCACGCTGCACTGCGCACCCAGCCCCAAGGGGTCAATGGGTTGGTGGGGGGGGCCCTGAGCCGAGGCCGGTCTCTGTCCCCTCTCTACCTCTCTCCCACCACCGCGCCCCCAGTCTGCGTGTCCACAAGTACTCTAGGTCTCCCGGTGCTCCTGGCAGTGCACCCACGAATCGGGTAACCAGAGCTTCCTGGGAGTCGGGGCATCCTCCCCCCTCTTCCTAGCGATGAAGAAACCCAGACCAAAAGGGAAGAGAGACCGGGGTGCAGCTTGAGTCGCGGGTCTCCCAGGGAGGCAGCTCAGGGAGGGGTTTGGGGAACCCTTGAAGTGGTCTGGGTGAGATTCCACAGGCTGACAGCTGCAGTCGCTCGGGGAGTGGGGTGGAGGGGACTAGTTTCCCAGGTACAGCCTGTCTGGGCTCTGGTGGTGCCTGACTTTCCCCTGCACACCCTGTCCCGCAGAGGCCTGTCTCCTGAGCCCCTTCCCCAGGCCTTTGCCGCAGTCTGCAGAGACCCACTCAGGGTCGAGACCTGTTAGCTGTTGGGGGCTTCAACCTCCAATCTGGAGGCAGGGCATCTGCCTACTGACTCCCTCTGCCCAGTCTCCAGGTGCTAAGAGTCTGTCACCCCACTTTTGGAGGGGCCACCCTGACCCCTATAGCCAGGAGCAGTAAATGAGCATAAGCCAAGCTGCCCAGCTCTTTACTTGGGACCCTACTTGATACTCACTTGTCTTCACAGGTGCCTGGCAGGTCTGTCTCCCTGTAGTGGGCTTCAGGCAGAAACCTGGGTCTGTGGTCTCAGGAACACAGTTTATACCCTGCCTTGTAAGATTTCCTGTCCTGGTCTTTGAGGCTCATCTGTAAGGTGGGCACACCTTACAGAGAGGGGGAAACATTACAGAGAGGGGGCCAACCTCATAGATGCCTCTGGGAGGAGGCCTGGGATTTTCCAGGCACATTGTAGAACGTTTGGGTGGCATGGCAGGAGTCGTGGACAAAAACAGGGCAGAGAGACCTGCCTCGCCTCCCTCCTTACATGAAAGTGTGACATCCAATTCTCAGATCTTAGTCTAAATGCTAGCTCTTTTGGGGAAACCCTTGCTGATTTCACACAAAATGCATCCTTTACCCACTTACATGCCACATGTTCTGACTCTTCAGAGCATTTTTCAGCTCCTGATTTTGCATTTGGAGGCCTATAAGCATGTGAGCACCTTGTGGACAGGTCCCAAACTGGCTTTCATGCCACAGGTGTGTGCAGAGTGAGTGCTCAGCAAATCATTGCTGAATGACTGGGGTGGAAAAAGACCTACAGAGCATGTCTCAGGGTGGAAGCAGCCTCTATATTTAGAGCATCCCAAGCCATACATTAAGGTGGCCCCTCCTCCCCTCACCCCACAGTGGTCCCAGGCAAACTTGCAGGGATATTTAGGGGAGGGGGCTGAGTGCGGTCTGGGTTGGAAGCTAGAGGTTGTGTGCAGGTCAGGGGAGAGAACTTTCTGGAATTATATTCTCAGAAGTTATCTGAGATTCTAAAATAGTTTGTATAAGTATCTTCCGTCTCCATTTTCCTGTGACATTCTATATCGTGTAACAAAAACAATAACAGATGACGTTAGGATGTGCAGAGTCTGCAGCAAGTGCTGTTCTAAGCCCTTCACACACACTAGTCATTTAAGCCTCACAGTAACCCTATGGGATAGGTCATTTATTATCTCATTTTACAGATGAGGAACTAGAGTGGCAGAGAAGCTGAGCAACATTCCCCTGGTCCTAAAACTTTTGGGCTTTGGTGGAGCAGGATTCTGCATGGACTAAATGCTTCGTGAGTGCCTTAGTAAGGCTGGGGCTCAGAGAGAACATTGCACCTTCCTCTCACGTTGGCCCTTTGATACTGCCAGAGGCATCCAGTGGATGACATTTGACTTCTGGAGGATAGGCTCTACATGTCACCATCAGCTGAACCCCCCACACCTGCCATAGTGCCTGTCATATGGGTGTCTAGGATTCAGAGAGATGGGACAGTCAGCCAGTATTTGGGAGAAAAGGGAGCATTAGAGAAGCTTTTGGAGGCCTCTGGGCTGCTGGCAAGGCTTTTACACCTCACCGTTTAGGGGAAGCAAGGCTGTTGCTGGAACTGAGGGGCCGGCAAGAATTTTGATGTTCCAGAAACAGAAGGTTGTGACTGGACAAAGTAGAAAAACTTTGGAAACAGAAGGGCATCCATTGACTGAACTTTTTAAATATTTATTTGTATTTATTTATGCCTAATAGAACTGGGGTGTAGGCCAGAGGTGTGGAAGGTGAAGGGATGCACCAGAGACAGAGTGGAGAGTAGAACAGGCAGATCTTCTGGAATACTCTGCTGAGGGGAGCAGTGGGCGGGGCAGCAGAAGTCTGCTGCACCACGTGGGGGCAGTTCCCTGGCCAGGGATTGATCTCATGACTTGAGATAACTTGATAATGCTGAGACTTAACCCCTTGTTCCACAGGAAGGCCCGGTTGGCTGAAATTAATAAATATTTGTGAAATACTTTCTCTGTATAAGGAGCTCTAATGGGGATGGCATTAGCAGCGGCAAGACTGCCACCCTGGTTAGAGGATAGATTCTCCATGCAGAAGCAAGGTTGGGCCAGCTGTCTTTGGCCTCGAAAGCCTGGCCTCAAGGATGTGGTGGAGGAGGTGGGAGCGGGGTGAGAGAATCTACCCAGGGCCAGGGCAAGAAGAGGCTGCAAGGTGGAGAACACAGAGAAGGGGAAAAGATGAGGCAGATGGAAGCAGTGTAGGTAGAGCGTAGAGACTGTGAAAGCCAGAGGGCAAGTCAGCTAACTGCAGGTGAGCTACACTTGACTCATGAGTCAATAGAAATGAGATATGGGCCCAGAAATAAGGAAGTCAGGAAGAGGAACTGGTTTGTGGAGAGGAGGTGCGAGGAGGGAGAAACAAAATTAACCACATTTAACCATAGGGGTAGTCCAAGGCCAACTGCATCCTGGAGCTCCCTCCCCACTCCAGCCCTTGACCTCAGCACCATGCTGAGGTGGCTGGATCTGGGGCAGTCTTGGGGAGGGGGAGGGCCGTGGGGAGGAGACAGCGGCCCTGACAGCAGGTTTTGAAATTATTTCCATATTTTACCAGTGCAGACATGTTCAGTGAGTACTCTCTGATGTCAGCGTCTGTGTGTTAGGGGCTGGTGGAAATGGCCCACGCCCTTGGGAAGGGTGTCCAGGTAAGCGAGCACATGGAACAGCATGAAGAAAGGCCATCAGTTACTAGTAGAGGCTCTGGCTAGACTGACCTGATTTGAATCCTGGGCTGTCCCTTACTCGCTGGGTGACCCTACCCTGAGCAGTTACTTCAAACCCCAAGCCTTTGTTTTTTTCCATGTGTAAAAATGGAGATAATAGCAGTGTCTGTTCCATGTAGGTTAAATCAGAGTTCAGTACATTACCTGGAACATAATGAGCTCTTGTGACTGTCAGTTATTATTATCATCGGCATAGAGGTGCTGATTAAAGGAAGTGGGTGACAGTTCATTCACTGAGTGAAGGGAGACATAAAAAAGCCCTCTCGGCAAATGCCTGTATCATACAGGAGGAGAAAGGGCAGAGATGGGGAGAGACAACCCAGAAAGGACCCTCATAGACCCAAGAGTAGAATGTTCCATGGACAAGGAGAGGTCCATTTGGGTGGATGTTCCAGAAAAGGTGAGTCAGCACATACTTGGTACATTATCTTATTCAAATGCCCTATGGAAATACTTACTCAAAAGAACCGTTTAGTGGATCTATTTGAGAAGGGAAGACTCAGTGCCTTTTAAAACAGGGGTTGGAAAGATAAAGAAAATAAAGTAAAATGGAGATGACCCCCACTGAGTTTGCCTGACCGGAAACACGCTTTTGTGTTGTTTCTCTCCTGCCTTTCTCCCACAAGAACCTTCTTTGTGGCCCATAAGACAACCCACAGTACTGTGAAAGCCTCTTTGCTGTTTCCTGTTAGACAGTCAGCTCCACTTGGGGAGCCTGGTAGGCCCAGCACGGTAGCTCCACACCCATGTAGTGGTCTGCAGGTAGCAGACACTCAACATGGGAGTGAATGAGGGGACAACAGAGAAAGAGTGAGCAGCATATGTGGCCGTGGATTGAGGTTACTCTGCTAAGGCGACTGTATCACTCTTCTCTTTCAAGGGAAGGGTCACTCCAGTGATCTTGTGCTTTGGAGAATGGGATGAGCGTCCACTGGACGCTAGGCCCCAACCAGGGCCCAGCACTCAGATGAAGAGCAAAGCCCACGAATGTCTTTCTAACCACCTGTTGGAGACTCTTAACCAACAGCCAAAATACACGCTTGGTCAAAGGGAGGAAGGTTCTTCAGGCATGAGTGAATCTCAGGCGGTTAACTCAAAGATTCTCTATGAGACACTCCAACCTGTCATGGCTGCTGTCGTCACCGAGGGGGACACAGGAGTGTCACCTTTCAGTGATTATGATCTATGCAAGGAGCTGAGTCTCACCTGATATTAGGGGAGCAGTGGGTGTGTCAGGAGAGGTCTGCGGCACCATGTGGGTCACCTCCAGGGCAGAGGATCGAACTCACTCTGAAGAGGTTTTGCCTAGCTTGCAGTGCTGTGTCCTAACCCGTTGCACCACCAGGGAGAGCCAGTATTTAAAGTTCTTGATGGACCTATTTCAGGAAACTCAGGAAAACTGGTGACTGCCCAGCTATTTCACTATGCTTCTCTAATCCCAGTCATTTCTTTCTTTCCATGATGATTATGGTGAATGTAGTGAAACTGGTATCTGAGTTGAGTTCCACCTCTCCCTCTGTTTTGAGGATCTTGCCTCCTATTCTGTTAAGAAATCAGGAACCAGTGAACTGCTGAA